AGGCTTTGGTTGGTCAGCTGCATGATCCACCAGTCGTTCCCAAGGAAGAAGTACAAGTTGCTCGACGTCCAATGACCACTGGTGTGCGGTACGCTCTTGACCGTGATCGTCTCGTCGATACCGAGCGCGTTTCGGATGATCAAGGTCTCGGCAATCCCAGTAATGCCAGCGTTTTGCCACACGTAGACGAACTCGGTCAGCGGCACGCGACGCCAGTAGGCGACTTCTTGCGCCACCGACGTCGTTGGCAGCGCGTTCGAGACGGCGTCGAGCCAGCTTGGACCACGTGGCGACGCGAGAATCGCAGCGAGGATCGCGACGTAAAATTCGTTGCCGGGGGTGCCAAACTTGCGCAGAAAGGCCGGGACGTTGGTGTTGCGAAGGTAGGCTTCGTAGTAGACGGCGGCATTATAGACATAGCGTTGCGCACAACGTTCTTGGCGCTGCAGCGTGTGGGCGACTTCCCATTCTTTCTCAAAGTCGATCCAGCACAACTGGGCGTTTGGGTTCTTGATCGCGCTGATCGACATGTTGCGCACGTTGGGCACAGCGTACTCGAGGCTCGTAAACATGGTGAGGGCAAGCGACCGCGCATATGTGGTGTATACGAGCGTCGACGAGACCGGCGACGTGTACGCCTTGTCCATGCTCATCGCGAGGAGGTCGATGTCGCCCGCGTCCGTTGTCGCCAAGACGGCGTTGGAGACGTCGATGAGGTAGGCTTCGTAGCCGCTGAGGTTGTAGTGGGCCCAGAAGAGGTCGTTGGCGAAACTCGGGTTGATTTGCTGCAGAAACCACACGCCGCAAAATAGCGAGAGAAGAATGTAGCTGTAGCCAAAGAGTACATCGATGCGCGTCCAGAGACGTCTCGGTGGTGGCAGCGACGACGATGGCGCGAATGGCCCCACGGCGCTGGTCGTCGGTAGCAACGAGGTCATGCTGGTGAAACCGGATGTCAACGAAACCCACGCCGTTTGAATTTTGAAACCATAAGTGGACTTTTCATCTAAAACGCGAGCTGACGTCGATTTGTTGGAGCCTCTTGTGTCGCCTGGTGTACCACGAGGATCAATCGTTGAGCTCATGTTGCAAGGAACGACCGGATTATGTCGATCCAAGGTGTGTTGCCGACGGCAATAGTAAATATATCCAAGCACACGACGACTTTCGTTCTGAGGCAAGCGAGACGGTGTGATGGTCCATCGATGTGTGATTGATGCAGCGCAATCGTCAAGATGGGGCTCATACCTGGGCAAGTTACGCTCTCGATACCAGGACGTCCGAGCTTGGAGAGTTTTCTCAAGTCCTTTCATAAAAACGTAGCATGATCAATACCATAGCCCGCTCCTTTGTTTTTGCGTCTGCGTCTCGCTGGCGCATAGCTCTGGCTCATGCCAAGAGCGCCGCGCCGTGAGCAAGTGGCAGGTATTTGTGGTATTTATGGCGTTGTGCCATATTTCATAACGTAAAAATGGCGTTTCTGGGATTTCTCGAAGCCCGAGAGACGCCCTTGGATTGGTCCAACATGATTTGAGTCGCTCGAAATTTCAACCAGGCGATTTCGCCGCCTGTCCGTCTCAGTCAGGGCGTCTCGGGACGTTCGCACGGCGCTCCTCTCACTGAGCGACCTATGCATCTTCGATTGCGAGATATGACGTACTAAGCTGAGGTAGTACGGCCATGCATCATCGTGCCAGATCGTGTACGCCCGTCTTCTTTGATGGGAGCAACCTCTCAAGCTCAACAAGTAGCTAGCTCCGACACCTTGCAGCTGCCCATCCCGTGTCTTGCCCAGAGCTCGCAGGATTCTTCAATCACTCACGATGCTACTTTGGGTCCAACTGCTCGTCGGGCTCTATGTGGCGCTCGCCATCGCCGCGTCGGCAGTGAGCGTGCGCCAGCTCTATCGTCGCCCACGCCCAGACGCCATCTTCCAGTTCCGATCGACGCTGGCGTATGCGTGCCAGCTCCTTCTGCGCGCCTTCGCGGCCGCCCGCTTCATCCTCGTCGTCGTCGCACAGCCGCTCGTCTACGAGTACGCCACGTGGAGCTTTGGCATTCAAGGCGTCTACTTTGTGTGCGCCACGATCTATCAAGTCGCGCACCACTGGGCGCGGTACGAACCCGTGCTCTTCCACCGCGATAGCTACGTGCTCAATACGCTCTTGGACATGAGCTGTGCGAGTGTGGTGCCAGCACTGCTCGCGTTCGCCACGTCATCCAGCCGATTGGACGGGCAGAACGTGGCGTTGCATGGTGCATCCTTCGTCGTGTACCTGCTCGAGTTTGTCGGCAACCACTTTGTCGTCCAGCGCCAAAGCCTCGGGCTCACGCTTCTGCTGCCGAGCGTCTACGTCGTCGTGCTCTGGCTGCACCAAGATTCGACGCCATCGAGATGGCTCGACCTGTCGTTGCCCGGGGCTGCCATTGGCCATGCGTGTCTCTTTCTCAGCCATGGGGTCGCCTTTGGCCTCTTCTATGGCATCTCGCTGCTCAAAGAAACATACTTGCATGGTCAGTGCCCGGTCGTGGTCAACCAAGGCCCGCCAAGAGCGCGAAAGCTCAGTTTTGTTTGATTCCAAATGTGTAGTGAAAATGTGTTGGCCTTTTGATCGTGTTCGATTTCAATGGGTCGCCAGGAAGTACCATCGGGACATATCCCTGGACGTCGGCGTGGGTGCCCGACGTTGTGCATTCGATATGTTTAAACTATAAGAAAGCGATAAGGCAAATGTAGGGTGGGTGAGGATGATGCGGTTGTCTGTACTAGAAAGAGTCGTGGATGCGTCTCTACCGACAACGAAGAGATGTGTTAAAGAGACGTGTTGTCCAAGGTTTTGATAAACTTTAAAACCTTTCAAGACGTGGCGCTTGCTACCGCTTCTCGCAGCTCGACTCCATTGCGAGCGCCTGGTCATTATGTGGACCCAAGGAGCTGTCTTTGCGCTTGTGCTCTAGATCACGACGAGCGTGACCTCGCTCGGACGTATCAACCTCGTCGCCGACACCACCACTGCCGGACGCATCGCGCACGTATGCGATCCACTTTGTCTTTTGCGTTAGCGTGCTGCTGGTGTACGTGGCCGTCTTGCTCGTCGAGGTGATTGACCTTGGCGTCTAGATGCTTTCGTACTACACGGCCAGGACTTTTGTCCTCGAGGCAATTTATTGTCTGTGAGCGATTGTGCACCCGCTCCAACGAGCGGGACCGAGTTCGCGCCAGATCATGTACCTTCAATCGCTCCTAGACAATTGCGTCGCCCTGTCCGTCCTTGTCGTCTACTGGAACCTTCTCTACAACCCCAAGATGCTTTGGAACAGCTATCTTCAGCACGGCGCGCTTTGCCTGGATCATCGTCGACACGTGGCTAAACCACGAGCGGTCATATGCCTTTATGGGCATGAACGCTCCGAGAGTGCACCGCTGTGGTACGCTGGTATCATGGGCGACCTCGTGTGGGGCCGCTGCCGCGTCAAGCACCTTGCATCGTCGCCAATAACCCCCCATTGCATCAAGACAGACGCTATGGTCTAATACAAAGCACTGGGTAATCATGGTGTCAAGTGCAGTGTTCGATTTGCCAGCACTAATCGTCCGGATTGCGACAGCGTGGCCGTGAAGAGAACATCGGGCAACACCGAGCTTTAACTCGCGGTGGCCAGCCAACGCACTATACTGCGTATGAAGGCAGCTACTATCACACGACTGCATATCCGGCTCTTGGCTGTTCGCGCTGTGGTGCCATCGCTTGACGCGTCCTCAACGCTCTCAGAGGCGACCCTTGGGGTGCGCGCTGCCTTGTTCCTCGCACAACCCCGAGTCACGACCACTAACGCTCCTCGCTTCACGCACCGCCTCACGAGCGCATCAGGAAATGCACCATATTCTTATAATTGCATGTGTAACAAGGTGAGCCGTCCGGCTGCCACGTCACAAGATCTCCTCCGAACGTGTGTCGCCGGGTCCACACGCGCCACACCTTCTTCCTCAGTCTGGGTTCGTCTTTGCATCCACACTACGGCGCGTTGACGGAGGAATTCAGGAGAACCGTGCGCAGACTTCAATCCCACAGCGCGACTACCATCGAGCGAGCTATTCGCACAAAAAGCGTGTGAGGTCACTTGGCCTTTTTCTAGTGGCGCTGCTGAGTAGAGTAGCAACTTCCAAGATCCAAGCGTCCGAGAGTAGCTACGCCAGCCATGACGACAGCAGCGGCGATTCGAATTTGATTTTCAATGGTTTCAGTGCCCGAGGCAAGATACTTCCTCAACAACCTTGGATCATCCTCGCTCGCCACTTTGGAATTTGCACCGATCCGATCCATGCTCTGGGTCCAGGTCGTCATCGGTGCCATCTTGGCCCTCGCGCTTCTCGCCTCGATGCGGTCGATTCACCACCTGCGCCACCGCCCGCACCGCATCATGAGCTTCCAGTACCCTTCGCCGTGGGCCTACTACGTGCATTTGGGCTTCCGCGCCGCCGTGGTTGGCCTCTATATCGCCGTGCTCGTCGTCGAGACATGGTACCTCGGGACAAAGACCATCTCGTACTATACGGTGTGGAACTTTATTCTCCAGGGTATCTACTATCTCTGGGCCATCAAGTACCAGCTCTCGACGTATGGGTCACGCAACGGACCGACCACGATTTCGCGCAAAGGCGCCGCGCTCAACGGCCTTTTCGACATTTGCTTTGCCAACTCGCTGCTGGTCATTGTCGTATACTGGGGTCTTCTCTACAACCCCAACATGCGCTGGTACAGCTACATCCAGCACGGTGGCAACACGCTCCTCTTCTTGATCGAGTTTGCGCTCAACGGCTTCCTCACGCAGCGCACCAGCGTCGTCTTCATCGCGCTTTTCCCAGCAATGTATGCCATCTTCATCTGGATCAGCAACGTGACGTGGCTGAACGGGTGGTGGCCCTACAGCTTTCTCGCCATGAGCTCACCGGTCGCGCCGCTCTGGTACATTGCCGTCTTTGTCGGTCACTTTGTCATGTATGGCGCCGCGTATGGCATCTCGCTGCTCAAGGCCAAGCTGCTCCCGACATGCTGCCCGGTCTTGGAGAAGAACGCTCTTCCGATCGTGGCCACGGCCCAAGGCTTGACGATCGTCTAGTTTTTGCACGGGTGGCATATCTTTTTGCGCATTTAATGCCTTTTTGTGATTGGCTCGCGCGTTTTTAGAAGCGCCAATCAAAGCGCAGGGTGACATGATACGATCGGAGTGGTGCAATGTCGAGCACGGTTAGTTTTGGACGCTACGTTGGACCTGTGCAAAGCAGCTACTATAAGAACTCGTATACAAGAAGATGTATCGGAGTCGTGTGCATATATGTGTGTGCTTGCTGTGCTCAAATTGTCGAGGATGTACCGATCTATGACTGTACCGATCTATGACTGATAGCGCGTTCCAATCAGCAAGGATGTATCTAATACGTGCCATCACGATGCATCTGCATTTCCATTCTGTATATACTTTGCTGGCGTCGGTCTACCATTCAAGCCGCATCCTTTCCTCCTGTCACGAAGAGTGCTATCAGTGTTTCCCCCTGCAATCAGCGTTTGCGATCACATTTCCTAGGTTATTTGCAGTGCTGATTGCTGATGAGATCTCCAAGCACTAATAGAACGAGGTCGCTTTTAAATCTACCGTTAGTTGACCGCGTGCATGGTCTCATTGAAACCAAAACTAACTTCATTTTTCAAAACGTGTTGTCGCGCTCATGTGGGTCCAGATCGCGATTGCCTGCATGGTTGCAGCCTCGTACCTCGGCATGGGCATCGTCCTGCACCGCGCGCATCAATACGACCGTCAAGGGGACGTTGCAACCTTGACGTTTACCTCCCGTGTGCGCTACTACCTGCAGCTGGCATTTCGCCTTTTGGTTGTAACGCTCTTTTGCATCATCTTGGTTATTGACGTGCAAGAGTATGGCACGACGGCCTTCTCGTACTATACGATTTGGAATTTTGCCCTCCAGACTGTCTACCACGCCCTTGCTGCCGGCTTCCTTCTGAGCCATTGGAATGCCCGCGGCGGCGCCACTGTCGTCGTCCAGTCGCATCCCCTCAACTCGCTCTTTGACATTTGCTTGACCAACAGCCTCCTAGTCGCCGTCGTTTTTTGGACCGAGCTCTACTACCCGACGATGCCCTGGTACAGCTACATCCAGCACGGCGTCAACACGTTGCTCTTCGTGCTCGAGCTCTTTCTGGGCGACTTTGACGTGCAGTCGGAAGACTTTAAATACGCAGGCATGTCGCCCACAATCTACACGACATTCATTTGGATCAGCCACGACACGTGGCTAGACGGATGGTGGCCCTACGACTTTCTCTCGATGGACACGTCAACCACGCCGCTCTGGTATATCGGCATCTTTCTCGGCCACTTTGTCTTGTTCGGCGGCGCGTACGGTCTCTCGCAAGTGAAAACGCGGTGCATCCCGACGCTTCAACCCGAGATGACGTCGATTCAAGGCAATGGTGCGCGCCCGACCTCGTACCAGTCGATTGTGTAGTCAAAATTATAAAAGATTGTGTATACGGAAAGGCCGGCAATGAATGTGTCCTACGACCTCTCTCGAAGCGTTCTCGAATGTCTTGACAAGAAAGGCGGCGCTGGTACATGTAGAAGGAACCAGACCGCAATGTGATGCTTTGATACGGTGCGGGCCGAGTATGATCGCGGTTGTATGCAGGTGTGCGACCGGATGTAACTTCAACCATCAGCTGCGTGTTTTAAGGCGGTTGCGTGATTCCAGTATACCTATTATAAAACTGTATAATATGTGTCGATTAAAACGCATTTTGACAATGGATTGTGTGATTGTGACAACCCATCAACGTTGGACATGCGTCGTCCTATGCCATACAACCAGATATACCGAATTGTGACGGCGCTCTAGTGATAGTACGATACCAATTCACACGAAGCTGATGATTTCGTCCGCCGTCTACAAGGGCTCCAAGCCTTGAACTGACTTGTACCATGCACAACGAAAAATTTGCACTTGTGCACCTATCATTCGAGTTCTGGTGATGGCGCCGGCATCAGCCAATCAATTTACAACTCCCGCCATCCAGACGACCAACAGGTATGATCGCGATCGCCTTCTGATGACCACATGAGTGCACGGACGCCCGTGGATTCAGCGACCAATCCACATCCACAATCGTCCGTCGGGCCATTGTTCAATTTGCATCGTACTGACACAAGCAGCAGTATGTGGGTCCAGCTTGTCATCGGATCGATCCTCGCCGCGTCCTTCGCCATCTCGGGTCATGCCATCTACACCCTCGGCGGTGGGCCGGCCGCCGTCCTCGAGTCGTTCCAGTACAAGACGCCGTCGACGTATTACGTCCACGTGGGCTTTCGCGTCGCGATGCTCGTGCTGTATGCGGCTGTTCTCATCGCGGAAGCCGAGTACCTCGGGATCAAGATGGTGTCTTTTTACACCGTCTGGAACTTTATTCTCCAGAGTATCTACTACCTCTGGGCGATCAAGTACCAGCTCGCGACTTCTGGATCACGTGAGAAGCCAATCACTGTCACGCGCGAAGGCGCGCTCCTCAACTCGCTCTTCAACATTTGCTTTGCCAACTCGCTGCTGGTCATTGTCATCTACTGGGGTTTTCTCTACAACCCCAACATGCGCTGGTACAGCTACATCCAGCACGGTGGCAACACGCTCCTCTTCTTGATCGAGTTTGCGCTTAACGGCTTTCTCGTGCAAGGCACGGACGTGATCTACGTCTCGATCTTTCCCACCATTTACGCCGTCTTCATCTGGATCAGCAACGCGACGTGGCTGAACGGGTGGTGGCCCTACAGCTTTCTTGCGATGGAGACGCCGGTCGCGCCGCTCTGGTACATTGGTATCTTTCTCGGTCACTTTGTCACGTTTGGTCTCGCACTCGTGATTTCGTCGGCGAAAGCCAAGTACTTTCCGTCGCTCTGCTCGGTCGTCCAAGCCAACAAGCTCTTCATGAACTCGATCAACTACGACACGATCGTTTAAGATATTCTTCCTCCTAATCATAACTTTATAGTTGACATTTTCACATGATTTTTCATTTATCTATCTAATATCTATCTATCTATCTATCTATCTATCTATCTATCTAGCAACGATGCAGCGATGTCGCGCCACGCACGTGGGGCGTGTCGAAGCACAAGGCCGCCGACTTTCAAAACAAAAAAGAATTTAAATACAAAAATTAGGCGTGGCTCGCGACAAGCTCGTCCTTGGCCGACTGGCAGTGGCTGTAGACGACGTCTTCCTTGGTCATGTCCGCGAGAATGTGGCAGCGCCTGGGGAGGTACTTGGTCTTGGCCTTGGCGAGCAAAAGCACAAAGCCAAAGCACGCAATGTGGGCGACAATGACGCCGAGGTACATGACGGGCGCGATCGCCTTGTCTTGGTTCATAAACGTATAGGGCCACTTCTCCAAAAACGTCGCCTTGCAGATCCAAATGACCGTGACGTACAAAACCGGCCAAAGAGCCGCGAACGGCGCGTCGGCGCGCACCATAAAGCTATGGTTCAAGCAAAACTCAAGAATGAGAATCGCATTGTTGCCCGCGTGCTCCATGTAGCCGACCCACCACGTCGACGTCTTGTAGATGACCGACCAGTACACGAGTGCGACGAGGAAGCTCGTGGAGAAGACGACCGTGAAGAGTGTCGAGAGCCATTGCCGCTCGCGCGTCATGGGCACCAGTGACGACGACCCCACGTGACACCACTCGGCCACTTGGACCTTGATGGCCCAGAGGAAGTAGACCATTTGGAGCGTAAAGTTCCAGACCGTGTACATGGTGAACGCACGGCCTTCTTGGTGCGTGAGCTGATAGATGATCGTCGTGATGTAGAGCGCCGCAACCACGACGCGAAAGGCAAAGAGGCCTTTAAAGTGCGCGCCCGACGAGTACTGGATCGCGCTCAGCGAGACGAGCGGCAATGTCTTGGCGACACGGTACATGCCGTGGAAGGCGTAGACGGCGCAGAGGAAGACGATGCCCGCGATGACGTAGCCTTGCCAGCCCATGAGATCGAGTGCGCGGTGCAGGTGCAAATGCAAAGTGAGCGTCTCGAGTGGTTCCCTGGCCACAGCATCTGTTTTGCGACAGGCCAGAAGAGACACGAGGAAAGGCTACCAAGGGGCGCAATGCTATTACCTGAACGCGCTGGTCGAAACACTGCCGTGACTGCAACTGTGCAGTCGAATGCAGTTGCCCGGTTGCGGCGCCATTGACGACGGTCTGTGCTTGGACGCGTTGTAAAGGGTCAAGGTCTGTCAAAGGAGCGGAAAACGGACTGACCGTTGTCCGCATCACGTTCTCCGATTGTTCCGCAACTGACGTCACTTGCCCGCACCAAATGACGCTGCGCCCCGTGAGCCATGAACTGCGTGCTACATCGGCTGCGGTAGCCAGGTGTTGAGCGCCGCAGGTGCCACATGTTGCGCCCGTGCAGCATTGCACGCGCGAAGTATTGATTGATGGCATGACGCCAGCGACAGGTGTCGCAGCCAGCGTCACTGCATTCATTGGTATATACATTTTGAACTACGACACGTCATGCTGGACGCCTTAATGCTAGCAAAGAGACTAGAATTTTTCTCCAACGATTGCAATTTGGGAGGGTTTTCCGATCCGTGGGATAGCATGGTGGGATACGCAGTGGGATATCTCCTGGTCGGACCCGATGCCCTTCAACGATTGCAGTAGGATCCCCGTGTCTTTTTACTGGTACGGGACCCAGGATGTCAGTCCAAGGCAACAAAAACAACGAAAAAGAAGCGGCTTTCTTTTTTACAATGGCCACTCGTTTCGTGCATGGCATGTAAAGTAATTCAGCCGAACGAGTAGTGTCGCAAGTAGCGAGCGCTTTGGACCACTGGTTCTTTGGTGCGTGAAGCGTTAGGAGTAGAGGGCTGATTCGGTGCTTGACCGAAGCACGCTTGTACACATTCAACATGGGCGCAGATGATGGCGTCAACGTTGAAGGCGGCACTCCCATTCTGCAGTCGTCAACGTTTCCGAGGAAAGTGCAAGACTCCTTTTGATCGCTGACTCTATGTGCTGTAGTGCTACAAACCAGTAGACCTAACCCGGGATGAGTCTTCTCGGTTCATCATCGTACCGGTAGGACATCATCGTACCGGTAGGACACACCCGTCAACGCAGCAGATATCGATATTCATTTCCTGCCTTATACTAGAGCGTGAGCGCTTCCCACTTGGTTTGTTGACAGATTCTGTCTACTACATGCCATTAAAAGCTAGAGTTTTACATATTTACTCGTTCACTGTGGCAGTAATGTCGTAATGTTGTTTACCCCACATTCAAGTCTTCAAGGCTGCCTTCAAGGACTTGGATCATGTTGACATCGACAAGGAGGAGGGTTTTGGCGCCAAGTGCGAGCCTTCTACACGACAGGCATTCCTATCTGTATCACACAACCGTCCCAAGTCTACGATGGAAACGACGGTGTGCAAGTGGCGTGATGTTGTTGTTGAAGTGGGTCGTCTATTACAATAGATAAAACTATGCTAAATAAAATTGTCGGACTTTCTTCGTTGTGTGTACTCGGTTGAGGGACTTGATTTAGGCAGGCGGAGGCAGGAGCGCGATCCGCGGGACGAGGTGACGTCGCGGCCACTCGTGTTGGGCGAGGAGCTGGAGAAGACGACGAAGAGCAGGCTGCTCGGGCTGTTGTACGAGGCTGTGGTGCACGTGCAGTTGAGCGACACGTGCCGCCTTGACGGCAATCGTCCATGGACTTGGCAGCGGCA